ATCGATGTAAATATGTGGTTTCATTCATTTTGTATATTATACAAAAGTTAGCAGTCTTGTCTCTAAATCATTTTTGCTAGTTATTAAAAGAAAAAAAAAGAACTTTCATTAAAATTGAACAATTGGGCTATGTATGAAAGGAGGAGGATTATAGCAAAACATCCTTGACTCTCTCTCAAAAACAGAACCAGGCCCACATTTGAAGAATACCAAATGATTCTCATTAAAGTAATGAGAATATTTTCAGTGACATGTGTCTGACCGACTTTAATTTACTTGGCAGGACTCATAGCAGCCAGAGACCCAAAAATAACACACAGGCAGCAGTTCCTGCTCAAACACACCTAACAGACGTATTTCACACTGTTTCAAGGATGCCCCGCCCTAGACAGACTGGGTGTAAAGGTCATATGCAAATTGTTGTAGCATTAAACACACATTCCTTGGGACAACAGGGACATGCTGAGTTCCTCCAGCTCTTCCTGCACAAAATTCACTCTAACTTGGACAGGGCGAGCCAACAGATTTGGCTGATTCAAGCCTATACCATACCCAACAGCTAAAGTTATTTTTAACTTACAACTACTGTTGATAAGTTTTTTTCACACACACATACACACATACACACAAATATCCTTTCAGAAAAAGAAACTATGAAAAAACAAAATGCCGTTTCATTTCAGTGAGAAGTAGTCACTCTCTCAGACAAAGCTATAAAGAAATGTCATTTTGGTTTAGAAACAACAGAGCACTTTATTAAGATTTTCAGTTCTTTCTACAAACAATTTCTCTAAACAGCCTTATGAGGCAGTGGGCAGGCTAAAATTGTAGTGGGTTTACCTTTGAAAATCTAGTCCTCTAAACAGAATAAGACTCATTTCCATAGTTCAAGTGCAAAATAAATAGTAACTAATCATATGAAAACTGTCATTTCATTGTACAATTTGCTCCAATTGACACATTTTTCTCATATCTGGAAATTAGCTGAGTGAACTATGCTCCAGGCCCTCAAAACTTAAAATGTGGTGGGAGAGAAAAGGCCTTAAGGAAGTAAAAGATGGGAGGTGAAAACTTTGCATAAAGATAATAATAATAATACCATTGGTGTTGGCACCGTTATAAGTACTGTATACGTATTATCTCAATAAATCTTCATAACACCTTTTGAAGTAGGAACTATCATTATTCCCATTTCACAAATGAGAAAAGCGTGGCACAGAGAGGTTAAGTAACTTGCCCAAGGTTACACAGCTATTTAAGTGGGGAACTACGATTTGAACCCAGTCAATCTGGCTCCAATTGGAATTGGTGATGGATTTGGGTGCCAGCTTGGGTTCCACCACATACTAGCTGGGTGATCTCATTCAGGCTATTTAACTTTTCTGAGCCTCAGCTTTTCCATCTGTAAAATGGGGATAACAATACTCAGCTCACGGGCTTTTGTAAAGAGTGTTAAACAGAATTATCATTGCAAAGTGTTTGACACAGTATCTTCAGCATGGCTAGCATCTGCTATTAGGAGAACAAACACATTAAAACATTTTTTCTAAGATGCGACCTTTTGACCACCTTCCCTATTTGCCTCACCAACTGGTAAGGCACCATGGAGAAGTCAGCTATGCAGGGTAGATGTGGGGGTTGCCAACCCTCCCTCTTCCCCACCTTGTTATGTCCTTAGAAGTAACGAGATGTCAACAGGTGAAGATGTGGGAATAACAGCATCCCAGAGTAGTTCAACAATTTATTGCAGTATTTATCGGTTGCCTGGCATGTACCAAGCACCATGCTAGGCACTGTGGTGACCAAACCACTAAGACACAGCCCTACCAACAAAGAGTTCACAGCTGCATAGGAGAGAAGCACACGTAAAAATATCAAAAAATAAAATACCCAGCATGCAATCTGGGCAATCTGTTTTACAAAACTGTTTGGGAAAACACAGCAGCTCGGTGTCCATGCTATGGAATTCATGGCCATCGTACTCACGTCGCATGCACGACTCAAACTGAGCAGAATATCTTTTTGCCTCTGTATCGTCAATCCAAAGCTATGACACTGATACTTTGCCTTTGTGATTCTCAAATGCTCAGCCATGATAAGGCTTCCAATCACGAAGCCTTTGAAAAGTCAAGCCAACATCTGAAGTGATGATAACTATTCTAGACATGGCCTAGCACAGGCTTTATCTTGAGGAGCTCAGCATTACAAGGCCTCCTAGTAGAAACCATGTGTTTGAAGAAGTGTCAAGTTAGATTTTAAATGATGTGAGAAATCTGAAGCAGTCACTCATACTTCAGATGAAGCCTAGCTGCGTTAAGATTGGATAGCCTGGACGTGGCTTTTTTCCTTTTTTTGAGAAGGACAGAGCTGGAGGACTAGAGATAAACACTGTGGCTTCCTGAGTTTAGTTCTTAACTAAAGAGGACCCAAAAAAAAAAAATTGTGATTTTTCTACCTGTGCTTGAATTTAAAAATTAAAAAAAAAAAAAATCACAAACTTTCAGCCTCTCAACCCTCTGTAGTAGTCAGCTATTACTACAATGATGCTGTATATAATAAAAGACCACAATAATCTCAGTGGCATTCAACAAAAAACATTTAATTCTTGCTAATGTATATGTGGGGCAACTGGGGTGTCTGCTCCTGTGTCCCATCCTGGAACCAAGACTCAAGGAGCAGTGGCTACTCAGGGTATGCTCTTGCCACAGCGTTGGTGGAAACATAAAAGGACAAGCCCAACCAGACAAGCACCCACACCGTATTCTCTGCTGACATCACATCCAGAGCATTCCATTGGCCAAAGCAAGTCGCATGGCCAAACTCAATGTCAACAATCAGGGAGTACATCACTAACAGGCCATGGGCCATGTGGGTACATAACACTACCAAAGAGGAGGAAAGAACCAGTACCAATAACCCCTATTACCACATTTTCTAAACAATTCTGAAAGGTAGGCTTTATAGGCTTTATTCTTTCTTGACAGCTGAGAAAATTGAGCCTCTAGAATTGAAGTCATTCATCCAGATTATACAGGCAGCATGTTGTGCTACCAGAATTAGAATCCAAATGCTCTTCTGTCTTTGGTTTCTACAGAGGTGTAGTTTACTGACATGTAACTAGTGATTATTAAAACTGGCTACTTGAAAACAGACTTTATTAAAAACATCTTCCCCTTCCAATATATAACCTCCCAAGGTGCACATGATTTCTTTGTCTACTCTGAGCCTTAAAGACCCCACAAAGTCGGTGGAATGGAAGATATTGGTGGCTGCAGAGGAAGGAACGTGGACGAATCAAGTTGGAAGGTGATTCTGTGCTAATTCTTGAGCACAGAAGTTTTACTCTGCTGTCACTGCTCTATGCGATCTAATTGCCAAATGGCTCAGAAGGTGAAGCAGTGAAACTAGAAGTCTTGAAGGGCAAGAAGCCGCCCTGACGCCAGCAGCCTCCCACATCCTTTCACCCATTCGTACAACAAATAGCTATTGAAGGTCTGTCTACTCTGGGCCTGGCAAGGTGCTGGGATGCTGGGAACAAGACAGACAGGCGGGACTAGCTCTCATGGATTTTACGTTCTGCAGAAAGGGATAGATCGTTATCAAAAAAAAAAGTGAAAGCACGCAGAGCAATTTCAGATTGTGCTAAGGGTTGTGACGAACCAGCCTTGCAACCCTGGGTAAGTCATTGGTTTGACCTTTCTCTGGGGCCCCCAGTGCCCTCATCTGGCATTCACGGTGCAATTCCTTCAGTCCCCATCAGTCGGACGGAGGGGCATTCTGGGCCCCTCTCTCCTAAACTAAAACTCTCGCCCTATTATTTCATGGAGAGGGCTTAATAGCTCAAAGGATGCCGAGCAGCAGGTAGGGGAGGAGTACAGCCGGTTTTGTTTGTTTGTTTGTTTGTTTGTTTTCAAAACAAAAGGCCAGCCCCCTCAACCCCCACCCCGAGCCTTAGAGGAGATTTGTACAGTGAGCAGACTAGGACACCCCTAACCTGCTCCCTGGCCGCTGTCTGTCCAGCGAGGCGCCACGGACGCCAGCGCAGCTTGCTTAGGGTGCTGGGGAATGGGGACGGGGGTTGTCCCAGCACTCCACTCCCACCCTGCGAGGACCAGATGCTGCCTGGCCTCTCTCCCCCCTTTCCTTTTCCCCTGGGGAAACAGGCCTCACAACGGACTCATTAACCACAGTTCGGGGCTGGGTAGGGTGCGGGGGCTGTCCCTCCCTGGTCCAAGAGTGGGGTCTAGGCATTGAGAAGGATCAGGAGGCTGCGCCCACCCAGCCGCCCCCCCACACACACACCCTGCTCCCGCAGGCGCTGAGCCCAGGCCTGGATTTCGGAGGGCTGCCCAGAATGCGGGGCTCGATTGTGACAGCTCGGGGGCGGGAGCGGAGCTGTCCCTCCTGCCCACCCACGCCCCGCGGTGACCCAGACGCCTCTCTGGCCTCCAGCTCCCTGCACCTCGCCAGCCCAGGAGCCGCGGGAGGACTGCACGCGGCTACCCGAGCGCCGGGACTTGCTCTCCTGGCGATGGCGCTGCGCCCTGGGGCGGGGAGGGAGCGCAGAGGGGACCGAAGCCGAGGGGCCACGGGAGTCTTGGTCTCGCCGCGCGGCTTCAAGTTTCCACCCGCGCGCTGTTGTGCAACACACGGCCAGAGGAGCGGGAGCCGCGGGCGCCTGGGAAAACAGGCCGAGCCCATAAACAAAGCCACGTGGCCTCGGGGCCGGGGGGGCCAGGCCAAGAGCAGGCTGCTCTTCCGGCAACAAAGCACCGCGGCCAGCGGCCGGGGATAAATACGGCGGCGGGGCCCGCGGCGCC